CCTCCGTGCCAGTGGCTGTCCGGTCTCTCCTTGTGGGTATGTTGTTCCTTACTGCCCATGCCCCCTCCCATGACCTACTGCCGCCGTCCTCGCCCTGGTCATGGGACCTGTATAGATGGTCTGCCTGTGATGCTTCCCTGCCGGTGCCACGTTAGTGATGCGGTCCATCACCCGCTTGCCCTGTGCATCCTCTAGTACTAAGACCCCTGACTCCCTCACCTCCTTCACTTCCCACCTTTGCTGTGACACCCCCACATCTAGTCCATCCCACTTCGCCCTTCGCAGGTACACCGCCTGTCCCTCCTCCACTGCCGGTTCCTGTCCTTGCTTCTTGCTCAGCTGACGTTGCTTGTAACGATGAATATCTTGCAGCTGCGCCACCTTCAGGCTCTCCATGGCTGCAGGTAGCATCTTCTTCAAGTACTCGGCCCTGGCGTCTGCTAGTGCCACCCACTTCTCCGCTGTTCTCGCTGTGACGCTGTCCACCAACAGCCTGGATGCATCCACTGGCAGGATAGGCTGCTTCCCGAAGAGAAGGTAATACGGCGAGACGTCCTTCAATGAAGCCTGCTTGCTGAATCGATAGCCTGCCATCACCCATGGCAGCTTCCTGTCCCAATCTGCCTTGTTCACCTCTCCATAGGCCCTGATACCCTTCTTCATCGTCTGCACCAACCGCTCGGTGAGGCCGTCGCTCTGGGGGTGGTATCTAGACGTCATGCGGTGCTGGATCCCATTCTCTGTAAGGAGCTCTTTGAATTCTCCCTGGAACTCCGTCCCTTGGTCTGTCAGCACTTCTCCGCAGGCCCCAAATCTTGTCAGCACCATTTCCTCAAATGCTTCCGCCACCGCTTCCGCTGTCTTCGCCACAAGGGCTCTTGCTTCCGCCCACTTGCTGACATGCTCGATCATGAGCAAAACGTATCTCCCGCCCTTTCGCGACACCGGCAACTCTCCTGCTATGTCCAGCGACCACCTGTATCCCAGCTCCACTATGGCCAAGGGCTGAAGCTCGGCCTGGCTCTTTAGCAGGCTTGCCTTATTTCTGCAGCACAGCTCGCACCGCTCCACCCATTCCTTCACCTGTTTCGGCATTCCTGCCCACCACCACCCAGTCTGTAGCAGCTGCTGGGTCCTCAAGGGCCCGTAGTGTCCCAACTTACTGTGGACTTCTCGAATGATTCCTTCCCGCTCGTCTGGCGCTGGCACCCTTTTCCACCCGTCCTTGGTCTGCAGCTGCACCTGTCCCTGAAACCACCTGTAGTGTTGGCCCCGCGCTCGTGCCCTTGCCCCAGCTCCCCCATCCTCTGCTGTCTCTCCTCTGATCCAGGCTAGGGTCTCGGGGTCCTCCCACACGTCTGCTGCCCCTCTCTGCTGCTGTCCACCCGTCTGCTCCCTTACCATGGCAGTGAGCGCCGCTGACGGTGGTTCCTGCTCTGGTCCTTGCCTGCCTTCTCCTCGGGGTGGGTTCCTTGACAGCCCGTCGACGTGCTGCATCGTCTTGCCCGGTCGGTGCTTGACTGTGAAGTCATATTCTTGCAGCTTCATCGCCCACTGTGCGTTTCTGCCTGTCAGCGTCTGGTTGCTCATCAGCCATAGCAGTGGCTGGTGGTCAGTCACCAAGGTGAAGTGCCTCCCTTGTAGGTACACCCTGAAGTGCCCTACTGCCCACACTACTGCCAGTCCTTCCCCTTCGTAGGATGAATAGTTAGCCTCAGCCGGGCTGCATGTCCTGCTGGCGAAGGCTACCACCTTCTCCACTCCCTTGTCCACCTGACTCAAAACTGCTCCCATCCCGATGCTGCTCCAGTCCGTGTAGAGCGTGAAAGGCTGCTGTCCGTCGGGCAGCTTCAGCACTGCTCCCGATTTCACCGCCTCCATCAGTCCGCGTAGCGCCTGCTCCTGCGGTTCCTCCCACCGCCACTTCTGCTCCTCCTTGAGCAGCGAGTTCAAAGGTGCCGCCTTCTTGCTGAAGTCCTCTACGAATTTACGGTAGTAGTTAAGAAACCCCAGCAAAGCGCGCAAGCTGGTTCGGTCCTTGGTCCTCTCCACCCTGTCCAGCACTCCGACTTTGGCTTTCTGAATGCTTAGCTCCCCTCCAGTCACCTCAAATCCCAGGTAAGCTACGCTACTGTGCCCGAAGCGACACTTCCCCGGATGGCAAGTCAGACCTGCTGCCTCAATCGCGGTCAGTGTTGCCTCCACATCTCGCACGTGCGTCTCTCCATCCGGACTAAAGATTATCACGTCATCTATGTAGCACGCCGCGCCCCTCACGCCCCTCAGAACCGCGTCCATTACTCGCTCGAACACTGCCGAGGCGTCCCGCAGCCCGAATCGCATGTAATTCCACTCGTACAGCCCATCTGGCCCGTGGAAGGCCGTTTTCTTCTTGTCCTCCTCTGCTATTGGTATCTGGTTGAAACCTTGCTGTAGATCCAGTGTGGAGAACACCCAGCTGCCATGCAGCTGGTCGAATATCTCCTCTGCCATGGGCATTGGGTATTTGTCAATGGCCGTCACTTTGTTCAGTCCACGATAGTCACCACACATGCGGCGAGACAGTATGGCACCGGTCAGGTCTGTCCTCGCTGCTACCACTGTTGCTGCTGCGTAGTCGAATGATGATCGTCTGATCAATCCGGCGCTAAGCAACTCCTGGCACTTGTCGGTGAAGACACTGATATCTTGCGGGCTCATCCTCCTTCTCTGGTATACCGGCACCTCGCTAGTCAGGGGTAGGTGCATTGTGCTGATGACGCACTTCCCCAGTTGCTGCAGCGTGTGCGCAAATGCGGCTGTATGTTGTCTCAGTACTGCTTCTAGCCTCAGCGCCATCTCCCCTTGCACCGCTCCCCCTATGTCCCACTCTGTTCCTTGTGGCTGAGCCTCTTCTGCTCCTGCCCGTGCTGCTGCTACTGTTGATGCCGCTAGCCCCTCCTGTCCTTCTCCATCTGTACCTGCTCCCAGCGCTGTGCCCTCTCCTTCTACCTGTATCGCCATGTACGCTCGGCCGGGCCCTAGGAAGACTTCGTCCGGGTCTGGTATCCACCTCTCCGTAGGGTCCTCCTTATCTTCTGAATCCCAGTCCATCTCCGGCTCTCCTTCCCACCCCTGCTCTTCCTCCTCCTCTTGGTCTGGGTATCTCCCTAACACTCTACCATGATCGTTGATCCTCTCCGCCCTCTTCTCCTGTGGCACTCCCTTCCTTCTCATCTCCCATGCCTCCTCCTCCTCCAGGTTTTCGAGCAGGATCTCTGACTCTTCCTCTATTAATTCGTCCTCCTTTGTCTTCGGGTTTGCCCTCGCTGCATGGTCCCGGCGTCGCTCTAGTCGGTTCCTCTCCAACTGCCTGTCCATGGTCCCCACCAGCCAATGCAAAGCATTTAGATCCATTGCTTTTCCCAGCGCCCTTCTCCGCTGCATCTCTGTTACTTCCAGACTCACGGTTGCTTCCGCCATGAAGCCCATCGCTAGTTCCCGCTCTAGCGCAGTCGGCTCCTCCCACTCCCCCCTCTGTTGGTCGTACACCATCCCCGGCCCCTCTATGCCATCCTTCATCTTGAAGCCCTCTGCTCACTCGTAGGCCACTAAGGTCGACCACGCCTGTCTTGGCTCCCCTACCACGTTGCAAGGATACTTTGTCTCGTGATCTGGGTGCCGCATAGGTGCGGGGATCCGTGCCGGCTCCAATATCTCCGCCACCAGCCTCGGCCGCGGTCGCTCCATCAATGACAACTCGTACTGCAGGACTGCCTCCGGCAGCACATTCTGCCAGTATCTGCGCGGTCGGTGCGCCCTGCTCCCATTCTGAGCCGCATCCCATGCCACCCCTGCCCCCATCTCTCCTCGGATTTCTTCTTCCGCCAGCTTGACAGCCCCTCTTTCATCATCCTTGGTGTCCACGTTTTCCACAATGTACGCCACCTCTCCCTGCTTTTGCTTGATCAGCTTAAGGATCCTGATCAGCTCTCGAAACAGTCCACTCCTCGGGTCCCTCATGCCTCTTCCTTCACCAGCCCGTGACATGCCTTGGCACTCCCAGCCTGCTATCACTAGATCGATGTGCCCCCAGCGTGCTAGCGCCTCCTCTTTCACGTCCTCCACGCGGTGGCAGGCCCAGTCCGCTCCCCTCTCCACGGCTCCCTCATACAGCTGAGACGGATAGCACTCCTCCAATTTCTTAATGTGGTGCCAAGACATAGTGCTCGCCGCGTCATCATTGTCGACGTAGATGTACGTTTGCACCCGCAGTCCTGCCTTCAGCACAGCAGCCAGGTCCGTGCTGATGCCTCCAAACAGTTCCAAAAGCACGATCGGTCTTTGAAACACCCGGCTGTCCAAGTGCAGTTGCTTCAGACTCCCGCTCACCCCCCATTGCTGTCGGTGCCAGTCGCGATAGCGCCGCTCCTTCTCCAGCTCTTCCCAGTTCCGCCAACCCAACTCCTGTTCAGCTGTCTTCACCTCAGCCTGATAAGCCTCCCGCAGCTCCCGGCGGATGAACCTCACCGGAAGTTCTGCTACTCGCCCATCGTATTCCCAATAGGTCACGCGGTATGTCAGCCTTTCTTCCCACATACAGATGGTCGCGCCGATGCTATACAGAAATTCCACCCCCAGGAGTAGATCGTAGTCCTCACATGGCGAGATGCCACAGTGCAACTTGGCGGAGCACTCTTCCGGGCTGCCTTGCCGAATCACTATCTCTACAGTCGCCCTAGTCTTCGGCATCCATTTAGTACCCCCCCCCCTTCTGCCGTCATGAGCATGAGTCCCTCCGCGATCTGCCGTTCCGGCCTGTCCAGCTGTAGCTGCTCCGCCAGCCGCTTCCCTATCAGCACGGGATGAGCGCCGGTGTTAATTATGGTCTGTTTCACTGGCAGTCCCCCTATTGTGATATATCCCTTCTCAGCTACCAGTACTGACGCGGCGCAGCTGAGCCGCTCCAGCGGATGACGTCGCGGTGCTACCCCTTCTCTCGCTTCTTCGGCCGGCCGCCTGGGCCCATGTTTCGCTCGTTCAGCGGTCCTTGGTTGCAGGCATCTCTCCCTTGGCCTCAGTCCCAGTTCATCCCTCTCCCTGGCTGGCCTCGCCATCAGACAAAATTCCTCTTCACTCCCTTCTTCTTCCTCCTCTTCCCTCGCCACCAGTGCTGGCTTCCTTTCTCTCCCTGACTATCGTTCCTCCAACTGCGCCCGCAGCCTCTCTATCTCCGCTCGCATCTCAGCTACCTCTCCTCTCTCCCTCGGTTCCCCACGTCGTGAATAGCAGTCTCTCTCTCCATGCCCCTTTCTTCCGCACTTCCCGCATATTGGTGCCTCGGGGCACTCTCTCCGCAGATGGTCTTCTTTGCTGCAAATGGAGCATGCGGGCGGGTTGCGACAATCTCACCTCAGATGACCGCTCTGTCCGCAGTTATGACACTTTCTCCCATCTGCTGGTCCCCTGGGAGGTCGCGTGCTCTCCACTGGGCTTGCCGTCCACGCTGGCCTCCTCCTATCCGACGGTCCCTGTCCAGTCCGTTCCGCCTCAAACAGGCGCCTCCCGGTTTCTACTCTCTTGGCTATCTCGTAGGCGATGTGCAGCGTTGCTTCTGCCCCCATCTCGAAGATCTTGATTTGCACGTCTCGCTGCAGTTCGTAATTCAGACCGTTCAGGAACTTGCTGACGAGTCATCCTTGGTCTACGCAATTCATATCCTCTCTCAGTTCTACCAGTCGCCCGTGATAAGCCAGAAGAGACTCCCCTATTCTCCACTTGTAGTTACGGAACTCCATCACTCGCTCAGGCGTTTGCAGCGGGAACTGATCTCGTAGCATCTCCAGAAATCGCTTTGTGGGATCCCTCTCTCCCGGCTTGCCTTGCTCTGCCCAATCCAGCAACTCCCGTCGGCAGATCCGATAATAGGTTTCCGCCTCTCCGTTAGCGAGGCCCCTGAAGAACTCATCCGCCGCCAGCCGATCTCGCTCCCACCGCGCCCGTAAGTTTTCCAGCTGCATCAAGTAGTTCTCCAGCGACAGTCCCCGCCTTATCTCTCCTGAGAACCGCTTCGGTACTTCCACCTTAGGCAGCATCGTGTATCGCCAGCGCAAAGTTGCCGCCTCCTCCTCGAATCCTTGCCATGATGCACTCCGCTGGTACGGCCTGTTGCTGCTCCTCCTTCCTTCCATTACCGCCGCTTCTCCAGCAGGGACCGGCTGCTCTGAGCCTGTGATCCCTTCACTCTGCTCCAACTCGCGCGTCTTCTCGCGCTGCCCGTCAGAGCCCGTGGCTCCACTTTCTTTTTCTGTCTCGGCTCCGGTTGCGCCTTGCGCACTCGCTCCGACACCGTTTCCGGGCTTCCCCTTTCCTTCGTTGTCCATCCTTGTCGTCTCCGCCACCTGATCCTTCGCAGCAAGTGGGCATGCCCGGATCTAGTGGGCATGCCCTGACTCCTCCATTGCTTGTATGTGATAAGCTTGGAGCTCCTTCACACACCACCTCTTATGCTTGCTTGTTATGTCTCCCTGTCAACAACGTTGGCTCACGTTTACAGCAACGAATCGTGTAAATTGGAAAACATACAAGCAATAGCAATTGCTCCCAGAGTTCCACCTAATCTACCAGCTCTGCCGCCGCCGCACATCAACTCTACCCTGCTTCTCCTAATCTGCTCTGTAGAGCTTGAACCCCTTACGAGCAGACTTGCAGCCTGGCGGTTTCTTGCCCTCCTTCCCAACCCCTCCTACTTGCCTCCAGCTGCCCTCATCCTGTTCCAGCTGGCTCCCTGGAGCAACCTGCACACACGGGAAACAAACACGCATGCATTCGGACACACATCCACCACCGGCGCTGCTGTTGCCATCCAAGCTGCACCTGCCTTGTTCCGCTGCCGATCCTTGGTGCGTCGCTTCGTTCCACGTCAGTCCTGCCGTGCTTCACACCGATGCAAATCTTCCGCCCCTTTGGTTCGGCAACGGTCCTCTCCTTCTGCCTCGCAATGTCCCCCTTGACCCTTCACCTCCCGTCCGCGCTCCATCTCACTCCGCTATGTACAATGTATACAGTATGTACACCACCCTTCCGTCTCGCCTTACCCTTCACATTCACAGAAATGTGACACAGCAGATGTATCATGTAGGGAAGGCAGCGCGTATGATAGAAACAACAAGCCAATACAGTGCCTTATGGAAAAGGTGCGTGGCAACCACATGCGTGCCACTGGGATAGACGTAGGGAGGATAAAAGTCAGAATATGGCCTGATGCTGCAATCGGCAATTTCCTGCCAGTCTCAGCAGTACGATCACACACAGCAAGCACAGAAGCAGGCAAGGCACTCACCCTCGGAGCACTTTCCCTGATTTGTCACACACAATGTCATTCCATGTGTTGCGGGCCGAGACTGGCGACCCCATCAGGGTGCAGAGGGCATCGCCCCGCCAGTCTGCAAACGACACTCCCAGCGCCACCTTCACATTCATCAGCGCAGCTGCTTGAGTCGCATCCCTGGCCACACTTGCAGCAGCGGTGCAGACCAGAGGGAGCACGGGCGATAAGGCACTGTTGGGTGTGCCTGGTGGGAGCAGGAGGGCGGAAGGAGGAGTGACGCTGCAGATCCCACCACCAATGATGTTGCTACAGAGCTTGCCCTTAGCGTTCGTGGTGTTGCAGATGGCACATGCGGCTGCTGCCCGCGGGATCTCAGCGGGCCTTGTGGGGTGCTTGCAGTTGGCGGTGGAAGCAAAGCAGTTGATGCGGGTGGAGGAGAAGGCGAGGCCGAGGGCGGGGAAGGAGCCGGCAAGGAAGTTGAACTGCACGTCCAAAGCACTGTTGGGTGCACATTCATATTGCACGACATCCTGATGTCTGTTTGTACGAGTATGCGTGTGCGAATTCATTTGGGTGTGAATGGAATGTTCGTGTGTTTGTTTGCTTTCACAATTTTCGCTTGAAGCATTTGCAGGTACTCGCGTGTTGTGCGCTTTTGCACAACATTGTACGCGCTGTGAACAGTACAAGCAGAAAGGACGAGCTTGCAAAGGAACCCAACATGGAAGCTTTGCGGTTTGGTTGAATTGATTGTGCAGATTCAGTTCTCTCCAACTCGAAATTGTACTGTTTTGTTTGGTTGACTATAGTGTGGCAGGGCAGGCACTATAGGGGTACAATTTTGGTGAAGGTTGGATGTTGTTTGTCTGTATCTGCATGCTACAGGGCCAGGGGAAACCAGCGGAATCAGCTTTTGGCTGGTTGGGCAAAGACGAAACAGGTTTTGTTTTTAGGACCTGAACCTGGTTGTTGTTTTCCCAGGTTGGAAAAACAGAACCAGAGGTTGTTTATCAACCTACCACCTGCTGTTTTGTCTAGCCAGGTTGGTTCTGTTGCTTGGAATTATTTGGGATCATCCCTGGTTGTTCCCAGGTTCATTCCTAAGGTCCTTGCTAGCTAGAACTATTTATTCCTTCTCTGTTTGTACCTGGATATAGTCAATTTGATTCAAGCGAATTCCTCCCTTCCTGGAAATTCGTTTCTACGTGATGCGACGGCAGAATGCTACCCAAGTCAACGCTAGTACGCTAGCACTCCAACACTAGGCAAACGCTGTCCGAGCCATAACTTCGTAATGGCAGAACTTTTCGCGAGGCAACTTGGTTCATTTTAAAGCTCTTGGAGCGAGCGTCGATAGGAAATTCTCAGCTTAATCCGATCGACGGTCTGCACGATACGCTGCGCGACATTCAAGGTACTCTTGCTATTTTGACTAAGTCCCTCTTGATCCCTCTCTCTACAAACTCGGACCCGAGGATAGGGGCTGGTCTTGTACTAGGCACCCAAGGACCCTTGGAGGTGACCCCGAGGAGAGGTTTTAAGTTTGATAAAGTCTTAATAGCTTGAGTTTATTAGTCCCTTACACCAACAGTGTTGCAGATGGCACATGTGGCTGCTGCCCGCGGGATCTCAGCGGGCCTTGTGGGGTGCTTGCAGTTGGCGGTGGAAGCAAAGCAGTTGATGCGGGCGGAGGAGAATGCGAGGCCGAGGGCAGGGAAGGAGACGGCAAGGAAGTTGAACTGCACGTCCAGAGCCTTGAGAGGCGCCGCTATGCTGCCAAGCAGCGAGCCTGTTAGGTAGTTGAAGCCCAGCAAGCTGGTGGGGGGTGGCACGGGGGGGCGATTTTGAGAATTTGCATGGTTGAGAGGTGGATGTGGGTTTGCTGCACGGAGATGCGAGGAGTGGGAAGTGAAAGGAATGACGTCAGGGGAGGTTAAAGAAGGTGTGCTTGGGCAATTCAGTGAAAGAAAAGAAGGCATCTGAGCAAGTAAGAATGGTATCTCACAGGTTGGAGAGATTAGGAAGAGCGAGCAGGTATCAAGGGACAGTGTGCGAAAACCAGTTGAACGAGAGGTTGCTGCAAGTCGAGGGGGTAGGTTGGGTAGAGGGAGCAATAGGATTGGATAGAAAATGCAGGTAAGGTGAATAAGGGTGGAAGGGGGTCAACTCAACTCGCATGAATGCCAGTACAACTCAATGCATGCAAGGCTGTCGTTCTGGGCAGCATGCCTTGGCAGAAGTGCAAGAGTCATAACCTCTGAATGGGTGGCAATGATGCTGGTAGAGAATCTGGTGAGATCACAGGTGCTTCCAACACAGGAGCAGAGAGCAACGCACATGGACTGGAGGGCGGTGAGAAGGCGAAGGTGTGTGGTGAACTCGTCCAGGCAACCCTGAAAGAGATTGCCGCTCAGATCACTGGCAGGGAGGGGAGAGGCGTGTTGGAAAAATATGGAGAGGGAATAAAAAAATGGAGGGGAAAGAAGGGGATGGACGGCAGGCTGTGGAAAATGGGGAAATGCAAGACAGATGGACCTAAGCATGAGATATTTTGCAAATGAAAATAATTTACTAATGTCATGAAATAAGGGACGGCATAGCCTGTGAGAATGCTTACAGAGAAGTGAGAGCCGTGAGGTCGGTGACTGCAAGAGGGAGAGTGCCTGCTAGGTTGAGACGGCTTAGTTGCGTGGAAGGAACAAATTGGATAGAGAAGGAAGTCTTTTGGTGGCAGCTGCTTCAAGTGGTGAGAGAGCAGCAATAGGTGAGAGCAGAGCAGTAATAGCATGGTTTCAGCACCTCAAGTGTATGATCCACAACTGACAGCAGCAAAAAACAGCTGCAGCAGCAGTGCAAAAGAAGCAGACGCACAAGCAGTGGTGAGGACTCACAAGATGCAAACTTTGCCAAAAGAGTTACAGGACACAGCAGTGAGGGTGCCTGCAATGGCTGGCCCGGCAGAAGCCGTGGTGCACGACTTTCCAACCCCCCACGTTGTAAAGTTCACTCCCAGCGCGCTCTTCACTGCCAGCAGCGCTTGCACTGTGAGAGTTGGGGTGAGGGGTGTGAGGGGCGAGGAGGTTTCAAGGGAGAGAAGAGATGGGATGGGATGGGAGGAAGGGGAAGGTTGAGTAATAGAGACTGCTGGAGAGAGGATAGGCAGAGAAGAGAGCTGGAAGGATGTAGTGGGGCTGGTTGACGAAGTGAAGGTAAAGTCAGTTCACTAAACTTCGATGATTACAATAAGAAATGTCCGCCAACAAGAGACTAACGTGTGACAGCACAATGTGATAGCATCCATGTGAGCTTGCATGTCTCTCTCACCATCGGTTGCTTGGATTGTGACCACCGGCGCTTCTGCAGTGGGCAGGTAGAAGGGCAAGCACAATGGGAGAACGATGGCAGTGAGGGAAGGGAGGGTAGACATGGATGGATAGAGCACATAAAGAATCTAGATGGATAGACAGAGGCATCAAAGTGATTCCCTTGTATACCCACATGGCACATGAAGCAGTGCTGGAACATGCCATGACCCACCACGACATGACACAACTCATCGCCACCACGTGCCATGACTAACCAGCGCAGGTCATGCGAGGAGGGTCCATGTCATCAGCATGTACGGTGCTGCCATCCACATCTGGCAAGCACAGCCCTCCGAAGCACAGCAAGCCATGCCCATCCTCTGACTCGCAGATCGCACAGCCCTCCGCATCCCTCTGAGCCACAGCACTCTCCTCGCTGCACGCCATCGCACTCGCCAGGCAGTTGCTGCTCGCGTCACACCGAGTCAGCGAAGCTGCGAGAAAGCTTCCCGCAAGGAAGTTGTCTTGGATGGCGAGGGAGAGGAGAGAGGTGCGCAGGGCTGGCACCGTCCCGGTCAGTACGTTTGTGTGCAGGTCCCTGGAGGTAGGTGGTTCGGGTGGTTCAGATAAGTTGATTCACAAGGGCACGAGCATAGTACCAAACTGAAGTTTGGTTCGGTTGAACGAGTTTGAGTACTTGAGCCAAACCCTTTGTTTGGCCTAAGCATTTGAGCCAAACCGGTTTGATTCGGTTTGACTAGAGCTTGCGAGGTGCTGACCCCTGAAACCGCTCATTTGACACCCAGTCAAACCAAACAGCTGCAACTCCAGCCTTAGAAGGTTTGAGTACAAAATTGGAACCTCGAACCGCTTCGGCTCGGGCCGAGTAGGGAGCAAGCTCGACCAAGTTCAACACGAACCGGTTTGATTTCGGTACGTTCTCACTTGTACTCACTTGGTTTAGAGGAATCACAAAGACAGAGAATTTCAGATATACAGACAGGACAGTGGTATGGTGTGTAGGCATGAACAAAGTGCCAAGCTGCAATGTGTTTCAAGTTGAACACCTATCAGGTGCAAGTCAAACCCAACCTCTGTAGTGTTCTTTGTTGAACATTTTGACTCAGATTGATGGTCCACTTAAAACTTACCGAAACAGCTCTAGAATCAGGCTTGGTGTAACACTTGGGCTGGGGTGGATCACCACCAATGGAACGACCCACACTCTTTGCACTTCATTTGTGGGTCCATAGTCATTCCTTATGGTATCTCCACCCGAGCCCATCCATACTCATACTGGTATCTCTACGCCTGCCTATTGCCCCCTCCTCCGCATCGCACCGCCCTGGTTGGTGCTGACACACTCGTGGCTCGGTTGCGTGCAGGAACCTGCAACGCATGGGCCTCAAGAGCATCCTGCATGCCGACATCACCAAGCTAACTACCCTCTTCGCCATGTCAGTTCCCCTCCTCTCCTTTCTCTCTCACTCGTCCTTCCCTTCTACCTGACGGGCTCCACCCGACCAGGCCGGCCCGACCCGACCCCACTCTTGCCAGTGGGTCAACCTGACCCGACCCTGGGCAACCGACCTGAAGCCTTTTTACGGTGGGTAACCGACCTGGCCCGAGCAAAACCGAGTCATTCAATGGAATCAACCCGCAACTCATCTCATATCTAGTCCTGCTGGATTGCTGACAAGCGCTATCTGTTCTGCCAAAGCTTTGGTGACTGTTAGGTCCCAGGTGCTGCTTGAAGCGCACTTGATTGAGTGCACTTGATTGAGCGCACTTGATTGAGCGCACTTGATTGAAGAACACTTGCTGCTTGTGTGGCGTGACAATAGTGTTGGGAAGCAGGACATAATAGTGTGGATGATGGCTGGGCGGCCATTCCATACTGGTGGAAGAAAAGTGTCCCATGTTTGTGCTGTGCTGCCATGCTGTGTGCCGTCATTGTGTGTGTTCTCGTGCTGTCATGCCATGTGTTGTTATGCTGTTTGTGTCGTTCCCTGTGCTGTAATGCCATGTCACACCTCTACCGCCCTGTTTCCCAATCCGCCTGCCCTGTCACACCTGTACCGCCCAACCAGATCTTTCGGTTTCAATCTTTTCATCGGTCGCTTGGATACCTTCCTCTCCGGCCTCAAGGGGCTTACAAAGCTACAGTCTATGTGAGTAATCAAGAGATGTGAGTAGTCAATAGTCAAGAGAAGAAGGCAAGAGAGTGGTTAGTTAAGAGAGTGTGAGCTGAGAATGGTAAAATAACAGCATGGTTATGATGGGGTAAGAAGCTATGCACTTGGCTGTGGCAAGAACATGATTCATCAACGTAGCACTTGACTCGTTTCGGCAGACTCAATCACAAGTGTGTGATTGCTCTACGATTGTTTGAATCACTTGCTAATTTTGAATTTCTTAAACTCGTGCATACGTGCGTTTTTGGAGCACTCACAAAATAATGGGAGTTCCGTCAGAAGAGGAGCAAACAACACCAGTCCAGATGGAGACAGGAAATCTACTTCCTGGGTTGTTCCCAAGGCATACGGAGGAGGTGGCCCAATCTGTGTTCGTCACACCCAGGGATGCCTTGATGGAAATCAGAGTGGGCACTGAAAGGAGAAAGTGGGCAGGGAAAGAGAAAAGCGGAAGAGGACGAATTAAGCATGATCGGGGCACTGTGGAAAGAGAGACAATGTGGGAGATTGAAGATGTATGCACGAAGCACGGCTGTATCCTGTTTGATTGGTGATTGCAGGAAGTGAGGGTGCAAGAAGAGAGCGCTTGCAAGAGATGGGTGCAGGAAGAAAGAGGGAGGGGCATGGGTGTTGACGTCAAGAGTAAGGACCCACCTGAGGCAGCATTTAAAGGAACTGTATAGATTTTTCCTGTACGGGCACCATGGGGACAGACAACCAGTCACGAAGCAACGAACCAATGGACCAGTCAGAAAGTAATGAGGTGAAGAATGCTTCCAACAAATGATCGAGAGAATCTTGATTTAGATGGTCGCATTGAACAGGCAACAGACAGAAGTTGCATTCCTATTGTAGTTGTGGTGGTTCACCACATGCCATGCCATATCATATCTATCCCTTCAGCCTGCTCTTCAGTCTCCTTAGTGCCACATCACACCAACTCAGTGCAGCTTTCTTGTACGAGCCTCCTTTCCTCGCTGCCACTCAGCATGCAACACGCACCCGTACAAGTCATGGCCACCGGCGGCAGTGAGGGGACGTTGACAACTCCCAGGCTGAATGGATAACAGAGTGCACCACCGCACAGCACCCCCTGCCTGTTGGTCGTGCCGCAGATGACGCAGGCAGAGGTGGGGCGCTGCTGCACGCCGTAGGTGCGGCAGTAGGAGGAGTTGAGGAAGCAGTTCTGCTCAGCCGCACAGACCGCGAGGGAGAGCTGGGGGAAGGAGCCCGAGAGGAAGTTAAGGCCCACATCGAGAGAGACCAGGGAGGTGGAGGGGATGGGCATGGTGCCCGTGCGGTAGTTGCAGAAGAGGCCTCTTGGGGGGAGGAGGCATAGGGAGGGGGAGAGGGGGGGAGACGAGGAGGGGGGGGAAGGGGAGTAGGGGGGTTTGGAGGGGCCTACAAAAGGATGGGAGGAAGAAACAGCACGGGTAAGATAGACGAGAAGCGTAAGAGATGTAAGGGTGAGCAGAAAGGCCAGAAACGAGCCTCCTGCATGCACCTGCATATCTTTGAGGCTGTGTGTTTAGCTTACAGTGTGGTGAGCTATGGCAGGGAGGCGATGAAAAAACTGAAGGGTATAGAAGCAGGAATGCACCGAGTGGGAAGGAAATGAGTGAAAGGAAATGAGTGAATACATTTTGAGAATGGCAAGGGTTTCACATCTTGGCTCTACCATACACTACACATCACCTACCAACGATGTCAATTTTAAAAGCTCTTTAGAGAAGTTACTTACAGCGCCTTTAGAGTGGTCATGCCCTTAATTGGTGTGGCAAACGATTCAAGACTGCCCCCCAAAATGTTGTAGCCGAAATCCCTAAAGCAGGCGGGAGAGAATTCAAATTTGTTAATCACATATAGGAAAGGAAGAGATTGTGCTGGAGGCATGATGGGTTGGATAGAGAGGGACGCTGCTTACTAGCCATTGTCCGTTTCGTGTCTGATTCACCCTTACAAGTAAGTGAGCACGGTGAGCTTGGAGATGTCTGAATGAATAGACCCCTTGAGACTCTGACGCGACACCGAGCTGCACGGGGGTGATGGAAGAGGCAGAGAGGTGGGTGTGCGAGGAAGGTGATAGAGGCAGGCTGACCAGCCATCTGCCTGTCCCCATCCCTCCTCCATTCATCTGTCTCCATGTAGCAATGAAATCCTGCTGTGAAAATTGCTTGACTCGACACTTGAAGCACATGTTATTGAACTCACACCCCTGTCAAGCAAAGTGACAAAGGGTTGATTGGTTTGCACTAGTTCACGCTCTGCGATTTCCACCCCATGCACACCTGTCCCCTGCCCCATTGCCCCACTACCCCGCTGACCAGCTGCCCACTCACATGGACTCCACAGAGCTAGCGAGATTGCAGAAGACGCTAGTCCACTCATTCTGGAGGGGCGATGATATCCCGGTGAGGCGGCAGAGGTTGGTGGAGGCCCACGTGGTGCGGGTCACACCTAGAGCAGCCTTCAACGCCATCATTGCATCGGCTGTCAGGATGTGGAGGAGGGGCAGGGCCCAGGGGAGGTAAAGAGGGAAGAAGGAGTGAGATAGTGTGAGAGAGAGAAAGCGCAAAAGTGCAAGGATGCGCGGGTACAAGAGGGAAAGAGTGCGAGAGTGTGAGAGGACAAAAGGCCATGAGTGCTAGTGCTACAAGTGGGCGAGAGTGCAAGAGTATGTGCGAGTGCAAGAGTACAAGTGGGCGAGAATCCAAGAGGCAAGCATAAGTATAAAAATTGCAAGATGACAAGGCTGCGAGAGTGCAGATTTGAAGCAGTGGAAAAGTGCAAGTGTGGAAGTTTGCAAAAGTGCAAAAATGCAAGGGTTGAAGATTGTGAGATTGGCACAATGAGAAGTGAGGGAGGCTGCAGAGGTGAGATACTGCAAACGTGTGATAGTGCAGTGCATAGATGAAGAATGCAAATTGAAATTGTGCAATAGTACAAGGATGCAAGCATGAGAAATCCCGAGGGTAAGAATACAAGACTGCATTATTGCAAGTGTAAGAATGCGAGAAACAGATATTGGAAGAGTGTGAGAGTGCAAGATTGAGAAGAGAACGAGTGCAAGAGTGTGGGAGTACAGGAGCGCAAGGATGTAAGTGTCCACGATGGCAAGAGTGCACGGGAGCACGGTAGCGAGAACAGAGCCAGCACAGGAGTACAATATTGCACGATTGCAAAACTACTAAAGTGCGAAGTACAAGAGTGCAGCAGTGCAAGATGCGAGATAGCAAGAGTGCTAAATTCCCAGCATGCGTCGGTGCAAAAATGCAAGAGAAAAGGTGTAAGTGCAAGTGTGAGAGGGCGACATAGCATGTGAAACGCAAGAGAGAAAGATTCTGAGAGTACACGAGCGCGAGTGTGTGGCAGAAGATTATCTGAGCGATATTAGTAGCACTGACCTTGAGTAGGTTTGATGAGAATGCCATAAAATTGACATCAGAATGGCAGGTATGGAACCTCAATGTTCTGCATCTGGTGGGGAATTCTGTAGTCCTCATCCGGCTCGCACGCCTGCCCTGGGCCACACAGCGTGCCGGTGCCAACAGTGCTGCCGCAGATGCTACAGGTGGCCCGCTGAGAGTTGCTAGTGTACGTGCCGATGGAGCTAAGGCAGTTGTTGTGGCAGGTGCATGCGGTCCAAGTGGAGGACGGCAGCGAGCCCACGAGGGAGTTGTTTTGGATACTGCGGGACTTGATCTTGGTGATGGTGGATGGCAGGAAGCCCGTGAGGTAGTTGTATGAGAAGTCCCTGTGGAGGTGTGTTGGAGAGGGGGGGGTTCGGGGTAGTGAGTGGGGGAAGATCATAGCAGTGGACGGCAGGGTGCTTTGAAAAGGGAGATGAGAGCGAGGTGGGGTGAAGAGGTAAGGGAGGGAGTAAATGGGGGAGGAATGGAGATGGGGGAAGAGAGGGAGGGGGCCTAAGGTGCAAACGGCTTGAAAATATATGGAGACGTGCCGAGTTGCGTTTAACTTACAGTTTAGTAAGGCCCGTTAAGTCTAGCAAGAAGCTTGGGAACATCCCCGAAAAATACATATAGGACATTGACTTGTTACGAGAAGACGAAGAAAGTGTGGCAAAAAGATGGAGAGGTACATGGCGACGAATAATTTGCTATTGTTATGGATGCTCATGATCAAGGGGGGGAGGGAGGGAGGGAGGGAGGGATGGAGGGAGGGAGGGAGGGAGGGAAGGGGGGGAGGGAGAGAGGGAGGGAGGGAGGGGGGGAGGAGGGGGGGGAGGGAGAGAGGGAGAGAGGGAGGGGGGGAGGGAGGGAGGGAGGGAGGGAGGGAGGGAGTGAGGGAGGGGGGGAGGGAGGGAGGGGGGGGAGGGAGGGAGGGAGGGAGGGAGGGAGGGAGGGGGGGAGGTGGGGGGGAGGGAGGGAGGGAGAGAGCGAGGGGGGAAGGGAGGGAGGGAGGGAGGGAGGGAGGGAGGGAGGGAGGGAGGGAGGGAGGGAGGGAGGGAGGGAGGGGGGTGGGGGAAGGAAAGAGTGACGGACGGACGGATGGATGGATGGACGGATGGATGGCTGGATGGACGGATGGACGGAGCGAATTCTAGCTCACAAGCTTCGGAGGGTGGAGAGGCCAGTGAGATACTTGATGTAGTTCCCCAGGTTGCCGTCCAGCAAGTTGAAATCCATCTTTCTGCAAGCAAGACCATGCGCGTGAATGGTAACCGCGGCAGAAATCGGGTCTCATGGCAAAACATATGGAGGAACGAGAAGCAGCTTGCTCATTGTTGAGCACAAGGGATGCTCCACTTACAGTACAGAGAGCGCCGAAAGTTAGGTCAAGTCGCTGGGGAGGTCCTTGCGAATTATCATTTGGTCATGCAAATACCTGCCAGAGACGAACGCCGCCCACACACACTCATGCACGCACGGCCACAGAAATCGCCACCTCCCCCCACCCCTCCAACACATGCACACACGCCCGTGTGCAGAACAAACACACACACTCGCGCGCACACACACATACACAGACAGATAGACAGACACACACACGCACACACACACACACACACACATCCACGAACACACACACAAGTCAGGCTACGGCTATCAACTACGAATATATAGGCAAGCAATGAATTTGTTAGCAAATAGGAACCATGATAGTGAGCAGACACCCGCCTTACATTTCAGTCACGTCCCCGTCACTGGAGCAAGCGATCTTGTCCCAATCACAAGTGGCGATTGTCGTAGTAGGGACGAAGTAGTTTGGGGAGCTAGACGATGACCACTTGGTGGTCGTCAGGCCCAGCGCGGACTTGATGGCTACTAGCGCTGACACTGCAGGTCGTCGCAGGGTGACAGGGCAGTGGGAGAAAAATAGTCGCGGCGGTTGACAACTACCAGCGGATGAGTCGCTGGGGAGGGCTGGCGGTAAAGAATTTTGATGCGGCGAAAGAAACGCGGCTACATCCCAAAATTCCCAGCGCAAAAATCACTTTGAAAACGAGGGGGAACCCAAGGTCACCCTCACGAGATAACCCACAAGTTCCCACTGGGTTCCCTACAGGTTACCTCTAAACGCTGACGACATCAGCGACAACCGGCAACAGTTGTCAGAATCCCAACCACTAGACCATTGGGATAAAAGGGCTTGTTTAAGTAGCGGGTGAGTGCGCCCATAACCCCCCAGGCCAACGTGCCTGTAACCCTTCCCTAGGATCGATCGAGGATCACCAGTGGATCTCTGACACCCCCCCGCACTAGGATGCCCGAAGTGCATACACCGGGATTCGAACCCGAGACCTTCGCTCTGATACCATGTCAGAATCCCAGCCACTAACGACTGGGATAAAAGGGCTTGTTTAAGTAGCGGGTGAGTGCGCCCATAACCCCCCAGGCCAACGTGCCTGTAACCCTTCCCTAGGATCAATCGGGGATCACCAGTGGACCTCTGACAACAGTAACTTCCACCATCGTAACTAAGTTCAGACCAATCAGGAGGGTTTACAGTTCGTTGGGGTACCCCGAGGCTACCCCAACTTTGTCGCTACTCTGCTTCTTCCGAGGCTGCGATGTACGGGATTTTTACACAGCTTGGTAAGGTACGTACACACTGTACACTTCTTCTCTCAGCATGTTGGTATGACATTTAGCGGTTCGATCTGATTCCGGCTTTGTTATCGCGTTGCTCAATATGTTGGAAAAATATCCCAATATACTGGGATACAGTGATGGGCTGGGTTACGTGGCACATGAAAGTTCACGAACCAATCACAGCTCTTCGACAGCACCTTCTCCTGCCTCTCCTCTCCCCAGCACCTTCAGACTACTTATCCCCCTCCGACTTACCACCCCGTCATTTTTCACCGTCATTCTTAGCTAAATCACCGAGCTCTTTCCACTCCGCCATGTCCGCCATTCACGCCGCCATGTCCTTTATTCACGCCACCATATCCGTCTTTCTCCTAAGCTTCAATTCCCTAGCCATTGCGGGGGGCTATGGGAAAACAATAACTATCTTAGATCGTTTTCCTTCCGTGTCCTAAAGAGCATCGTTTTAAAGCCCACGATTCGAGGCGTGAATTATGAGTTCTTATAACATTTTACAGATGCTAATTGCTTCTTCGAACCGTGTGTGTTTCTTGGCAGGCATCGCTTACCGTCGTGCTAGTCGCTCATACTTGGGAGCTTTGTGAGGTAAGCTTGTTGCCAGTGACAAGCTTGGGCTTAGTGTGGCACGCTATGGATGGCCGATTTACCTGAAAAATGTGTTGTTTGATGGGCGTTGCACCATTCGTTCAGTTCTGCTCCTTGGCGTTACTTACTTGACATGTTTTACGTCGCCATTATTGCAATTCTCCTAACATCACTGTGTGTGTTTCTGGCTACTCTCTGTGGCGAGCCTCCTATTTTGTCAATACACATCGTCTGGTAGGTAAGCCGTTTCCAGCTAACGTAACATCTTTTGCTTTATTTGGCGAGCTCTTGACGTGACGTGCTATTCCTCGTTTCTACGTGATTCTCTGTCTTCCAAAGGTAACTTGGTCAGCTACTTTCTTTCTGGTCCCCTTCTGTATTTTGTTATATGTTTTTAGGGTCATGCACATGAAAGTGCATTATTTGTTGTATTGTACTGCAATTTCGATAATAAATAGTGGAATCGTGCAAGTGCAAGTGATCGCTATTCGTGTAAATATTGTCATCAGAAATGCTAACTTGAAAGTTTGACGGCTTTTAGAGCCCGTATTAATAACAACGTAATTGATTGCTATAATTTCTTATGTAATTATATCACGAGAAAACTTCATACCTTAATTACTAAATGATAAGCTGCACTGTGCTGTAATATTGTTACTGTTGAAGACATTTACAGCGCGTACGCGGGTAGCGTACGATTCGTTCCCACAAGTTGGGAAGGTATCAGGGGGGTCACACGTCTCGCGTCTGATTCGCTCCCACAGGTTTGGAGGGTCACTTGTGGGTCACCACCTGTGGGTAACCTCGGGGTCTCCACGCGAAGTGAAAGCTGCAGAGGTGACCCGCAGGTTACCTTGACAAGGACCCCCGGGTATCCCGCCACGGGGTAAGCTGGGGGTAACCTGGGGGGGAGGTTTTGGGCCAAACATTTTTCGGATGTATGATAGTCCAGTACTCGATCGTATCAGGCTACTCTGCAAGCGGTTGTCACAACGGACTTCTTGGTACCGCGTTCTAGCACAGCGGTGCTAACCTTGCACTGGCTTGATGGTGGCGCTTGCGTCCACCGTGACGCCGCGAGATTGGCTCCCCCGCTGACTGCCGCTGCCCGGCCAAGTGCCGCCGCCCGGCCAAGTGCCGCCGCTCGACAGAAGCAGCAGCACGGCTACCACACATGCAAGTCGCGCCACCATGGCTCCTAGAAACTCTCTTACAGCCATTGCCGCGCAGTAGCAGCTGCGTAGCGATACTCTTATGGATCAAGCACGGTACTATAAAACTTCAAACAAAACGGGGAGCGCCCCTGCTTCTAGTAATACATGACGAACTTCATCGCCGCAAATTTCCAGTCAATTAACCAATTCCTCGACCTCACTCCCTCCCCGCTCTCCTCCCACCCCCCTTCCCCTCCCACCCCCCAATCCCCCGCCGGGACCCGCTCCTCCTTCCCCTTCCCCTCCCTCACCCCCGCCCCCACCCCCTCATCGCACTCCTCCCCGACGGACTCGGCAATGGTGTTTGCTCCCGGGTGTGATAGCAAATTGGTCGTGAATGACAAGCCAGCGCCACCCTACTACAAACCAGTGCTGGGACCTAAAACCTACTGTAGACCTAAGGGCGGGTCCGAAGTGAACGTGACATCCGTTGACATCCGATGTCGGTAAATCCTAACGGTTCTAACTCTGGATCCGAGGGTTGACATTTACCGACATTCAGCAACATCCATTCGACGCTTCACTTTGGACACGCTCTAAAACTAACTGTCCGAGGCGAGGTTCGGGGGACTTCAAACCAGTGCTGGGTGCTTGTCTACAGTTCAGAGGAGAGTGGTCTGTCCTTCCGTACAGTCGATACTCACTCTATCACCTCCATCCTGAATCAAAATTTTTGTGATGTCCTAAAAGGCTAACACGGAAATCTAGTCACTCGAAAACAATTGTTACTTACTATATTTCTGATTGTGCTATGTTGGGGTACAGTGGCACCACGTTGCGGAAGCCAACATCTACAGTTCATAACCAGCAAAAGTGCATATGTCATCAGAAATGTTGACCGAATTACAAACCCAATTCAAATATTCTCATTACTGTTCAAGTTTTGGCCCTCACGACACGGGCGAAGATCGGCATAAAACAAAACACGTTCGTCTAATAC